ACAATCAACGTAAGAAAGTTAGTTTAATGGTTCATATTAAAATATATCTGAAGGCTATCGGGTGCACGTACGATTATACGTATTTTAATTGCTAATTCTTTTACTATTTAATTAAGAAATATATATATATAAAATTAATTTTAATAAGTAACATATGCAATAAGAGTTATAATTATTATAAGTACACTACACAGTCATACATATAACGATTTTTATAAAACACTTACAATACTTAACATGTTCTTATTCATCATCATAAGTTCGTCAGTCCTAAGACTGGTTAAACACGCACCTCCACTTTTTCCTATCATGAGCTAATCTTCGCATTTCCCTAAAACTAGAACGTCCCCCACTTAACTATTTGCGAACAGTAATCTAAACTAGGTCTACCTCTGCTCCTCTTAACTCCTGTTTCTGTCTCTAATACGCCTCTTAATAGCCCTTCATGCATAAGAAGGTGTCCTTTATCGCCTATTTCTTACTGATTTCCGTAGAGTCTTTCACATATTCCTTTTAATACTTCTTCATTTCTAACTTTCTCTATCCACGGTATCCTCATCATTCGCTTGTAACACCACATTTCGAACATTTTCTTTTCCGCCGCGCTATGTTTCGCGCCTGTACAGCGCCGCGGCCCAAACATACACGTTTAGCAATTCTCTTGCATAGCAGTATTTTTGTTTTACTTTTATTTATTTTCATGCAGTACTGTTTTGTCAATACCGCTCAGATTTTATTTAAAGCAATGTCTAACTCTTTTGTTGCTAGATGCTAAAATTGCTTTATCATCTACAAATTTAAGCATAGTAATATTTTGCCCTGTATATCTATCTTTTTTTATTCTAAACCCAAATTGATTTTCCCCTAACAGTTCTTCATCCCTTTTTCTATCCTTCTCTGTAAAATTCTACTTAAAATTTTTGATGCATGGGAAACTAATTGTTTAAATGTTACTACTAATACACAACCGAAGATGCGTGAGTTTTAACGAGACGAACAACCCCCAGTTTCGGACCTATCCAAACTCTTATTACATTCATGGACGGGAATTACGTAACGGAGCAGATGCCCCACTGCACAACTCCCTAGTCCCATGTAGGAACCAGTTAAATTAATTTCAAGCAGCAGGCAGTATATCCACATCTAATGATATTTGCTACTAACAGTGTTAATATGATGGTAACGAATTTTAAACACCTTAAAAATGTTGACAAATACTAGATATAATATTGATTGCAAAATTTCAATAGACTAGAAAGTAAAAAATTGCATAATAAA